CACAATTTTACCTAAGTGGTCGTACATAATATGTATACAATGTATCACTGGGTTATTATCTATCAGTAATAAGTTTTTATTATAATATTATAACAAGCGTGTTTATTTTAAATATAAATTATAATATTATGTATATTAAAGAATTATACAACTTACTTAACTATATCTAGGTACTCAAAATGAAAACATAAAAATGTTTGTATTCATAACCAACTTTAAGGGATAATTTATCTGAAAAGATGTTATAAAAAAATTTAGTTTAACATATAGGTGAATAATTATTTTAATTTTTAAATGCATCGATAGCAAACGTATGTAATACACGTACCAAAATTTTATACTATATTATTATATAAGCTATAATTTAATTATAATTGTGATAACTACTTAYGAAAATAAAATACGGGCGTACGAAATAGTTATAATGGACGAGAATAAACAAAATCGAAAAACGTTCGACGGGACGTTCTAACGTCTAACCACCAGATAACCGYCATGACCGAGCAACCGCAACTATATCCATTTATAAAAGCRTAATCAATRGGTATTATATATTTTAATGTGCGTTTCAGGTGGTCGTCACGTACTCGTCTACGTATGTCCTGGTCGCGCTCAGCATCGACAGATACGACGCCATCACGCACCCGATGAACTTCTCGAGTAGCTGTAAGTAGAGAAAAAACAAAAAACAAAACAAAATTTTTAAATTTTTTCCACACATTTTCAGGGCGTCGGGCCAGAGCATTGATCGGATGCGCTTGGATTTTGAGTTTTGTGTTCGCCGTACCCAGCGTATTTATTAACGAAGAAACAATCATAGAAGGTATATACCGACCCTATCTGTAATTTCCTTTGTAAAAAAAAAAAAAAACAGGAAATATTTATAATATTTTACTGTAATAATTTTTATGCGATATTAATATTTATCATGCATATATGCATATATACCTACTGTACGTAAGCTTAAGCTTAACTTTTTTGAGCCCCGAATTGTTTATAATATTGTCGGCAGAGGGTTTGTAATATTTTAGTTAGGTTGACAGTGCAGCGGGTTTCACAAATTATACAGTAATTGTTACCGAAAATGTATCAATTATTTGTAGTACTTATGCAAAAAAAATTAATGTTATGTATACGAGTTATGATTGTATATACATAAACGTTTGATACTAAAAATAAATATTATTTAATTAATATTTTATCATCAAATATTTTCATCATTTCATTCTCTGCAAACTTCTACGGTTATTCTTTTTAGCTTGACGCAAAGCTTGTACACAGTTTCCAAAGTTTTCGAGCTTTGCACCTTATAATTAAAATAAATAAAATGGCATGTATACTATATTATTAAATTTACACAGTACATGTTTAAGTATTTATTTACATATTATGTAACTGAACAAGTCAAACCACTCAACCCCTATTTTTTAAATAAAACATGGCGCAAAGTGTATAGTCTTAAATGCAAAGTGTACATTACTGATTAAATAAGTCAGTAAAAGTAAATRAATGTATAACCATAAAAATTAATTGTAATAAAGTTCATTTTTTTACCATAAAACTACAATGGTATAAAAATGTTTTCCCTAGAAGCGAGTTCAAGTAAGAAAAATATATAATGAGGAGTCAAGTATATCGGATCAAATATTTTTTTAAATTAAATATCCTATATTATGAAAATCAACTATCAATCAATTTGTTTTGTTGGTACTTCGAAAATATATTTTCCAAACTTGTAGAATAAAAATAACGCAACTATACATATTAAACCGCAAATTGATAAAAACAAATTAAAAAGTTTATTATTAAAATAACTTCAATCAATTTTTCTCATTTTAATGATTTGGAATTGGTACAAAGGGGTGTATGAGTGGCACTTCCGCCCTCTCCATCAAACCCCACGGCCCTATGAATTATCTTAATGTACAAAAGATATTGTTTAKTACGAATTTTTATATGAAAAAATTAAAGATAAGGTCTGATGTAAGTGTGAAGTGACGTTAGGTTAGGTTAGGTAAAGACGTTGGTATTGAAATTCAACTTATAGATTTACCATTGTCCAAGTACCTATTTATAAGGTATATATCAATATATATCATAATATGTACTTACTCGGTTTTTATGACACTCCGATGTTAAATAAATAAATAAATAATATTTTTAGACGTATACAGCTCGCATCAGGAGTACAACTATATACACATGTATATAATCGAGGACAAATAAAATTGATTCAAACCCATATAGCACCYCTTTGTAACATAATACAATATAATTATTATGTAATATGTAATATTATTATATATTACTATTTGTAGACTAATTATAATAAGTTCTGTAACGAAATTCGACACAAAGAGCGATTCCGTCGTATGTACTGAAATAGACCTRAGACCGCCATTMGATTCATCATAATATCACCTATATAGAAATTATCGAATATTTGTACAGATACCTATACAATCTTAAGTCCTTCGGATRAAAAWGTTTAAMACACATTTGGAAAGTAATTATTAGTATACCTACCAGTAGAGTGCCAATTGTTATGTAAAAAATAATAAATGGTTAAATATTATATTGCTATATTACTATTCCTATTATAATTTTCCGATTTACTCAAAATTAAAAATTAAATATCACTAGGTTTTGTTTTTTTTTTTTTTTAATGAAATATTAATGAAAATGTTTTAACAGTTGAACTCTATTGCTTTGTATCACTTATATAAGTAGGTACTCTAATAGAGACTTAGGCTTTATATAGTTTAAGCTGGAGATGGGTAAGAAGAGTAGTATTAGTAGTAATCCGGCTGTGTTCGAGGACCAAAAAAGTTAGACCTTAGACACTAATCACTATACATATTACACATATTATTTATTTAAATTAATATCAAAAAGGTCACTACTGGGCCTCAGTGAAAAAACTTATAACTAAACATATATGTAWATTATATAGCATACCATCTTATTATGCGTTATAGTGTATGTTATAAATAGTTATAATATACTTATATACAATAATATACATTATATACTSTCTTTATACAGATTATTTTATCACTGAATCCATTCCATCCGTTGAAACTTATTATTACTAGAACATACAGTCGCCACGACGCCGCCGTCTCTTCTGTAGAAATTGTCACACACCCAATTAGACATTACGAAAAACAAAAAATCACGAATCGTATATAATCGATTACGATTCTCATCTTACCGAACACAATAGTATAATAGTTCGTTTTTTCATTTGCACTTTTAATTTCAAGAACGCTTCGAATCATCAAGGGATGCAAAACGCAGACTTCGGAATCAACCCCCCTCTCTCACCCTGCTCATCGTAGTCATGTTACTTTATTAATCCCAATGTTGTCATGACGTACAATGTTGTAGCTAGTGGTTTCAATATCGTTTCGTATAATATACGCCATCGTCCATTGGCGTAGACAATTCAACTAAACTATATGATATACGTTGACGTCCTAATAGAATTATTTTAAATCGTATTACCTCCTCTCGCAGTTTCTATATTATGATTTTCGCTCACGATGCTATACATAATTGTTGTGAACACTGACGATTGTTAACTTTRAATAGTCTAGAAAATAAAACTGACAAAACAAAAAAAACCCATTTGCAAATGTATTATTTCGTTACTATTATAACGTAATGTTATCTTAGTCTCGTCGTATATTTTGTCCATCGACCAATAATCAGTACAACGATATACACTCCTCTACCCTAAACATTAAGACCATCATAAATATTATAATGCTTAATGGAATTTGATAAATTCCGYTCTTATATTATATTTRCATATTATATTATCAGAAGCAAAGCTATGTATATATTATTATAGCTGCCAAAACCTAATAAAAAATAAAAAATATTGACTAGAAAATAAAAGCTCCTTGTGTTAAATAAATATATTTAGCTATAACTTGAAACTAATAGTGTAAAAAATATATAAAGCATCTAATTAATTAACATCTATATCACTTTAAAAATAATAATAAGTTGACCATAAGAAAATGTTTGATATATTATTAAATTATATTTACTATTTGATTAAACAATAGCCCAAAACTATAGTAAGGGTATATTAGGGCAAATGTAAACTGGGCCCGCGATTACCTTTTTTTATGTAAACTCGGCCAGAAAATTTCAGGTAATAAAATATGTAGATTGTAAACTCGGCCCGGAAATTTCAGGTAATAAAAAAGGTCAGTTGCAATCTCGGCCCGATAACATTTACCAATAAATTTCATGTGCATTTTAATTCAAGTTTCAATTCCACTCGGCCCAATATATATTCAGTCATTGCGAAATTAAAAGAAATACAAACAGAAACGTACATTAAAATCAACAGCCTAGATGCACCATTTCAATTTCAGAATACAAAAACCAAAAAAAAATAAGAGAACTCTTAGAAAGAACACTTACGAAATATAAAAATAAGGAAATATCRGTAAGTGAATACGTTAAACACATGGCTTTTAACTTTAAAAAAATAGATTTATACATTATATTTTTACACTTTTTACACCTACAAATTTACATAAATACATTTTATAGTTATATAACGATTTTCATACTATGAATAATAATA